ATACCAAGCATACAAGCTTTTACAAGTTTTTAATTAGAAACGTTAGAATGTTAAATAACGAAACAAGAAAAACACTTAAAGGGACAATCAATCATAATTATTCACATGATAACTTAGTTTTCTGGAAAAGCAAAAATGGAAATTACAAGTATACAATTATAAATTTAGGTTCACTTCCCCTGAAACCAATTTTTAAATATACTCAATGTCCGGGCAATATCCTATCCCTAACAAATATCAAATAGAAGCCTTTTGGGGGCGAAATAAAAAAAATCATGTTCAAACGTCTATTGATTATGTTGAAGGGATTCCACATTTTAAGATTGAATGGATATATAATGAACAAAACTGCATAGTAGTTTCACAAATCTCTCCTTCAGATGTGTCTAACCAATATTGTAATATACGATATTCAGAAAGAAAAACAGCAATTTCTGGAATACTTGTTTTTGGGCTACAATTGTATGAAAAATTAACTAAAGCTATGCCAAAAAAAAATCAACCACAATGTATCAAACCTCTTAGCGATCTTAGTAATTCTTCGTATAGAAATAAAATTAAAAAAGCTGGTGAAAGTTTATTCAATGATTTTGAGAAAAAAAAAAAAATTTGGCATTCCATAGATAATTCTAAACTCAAAGAATTAGTATTAGAAGCAGGCGAACAACCATGGTTAATAAAGTTTGAAGAAGATCAACAATTAGAAGAGAAAAAAGCACAAAAAATTGTTCAAATAATAAATGAATCCAATATTTCAAGAAGAGGATATAGAGCTTTAACAACTACTTCAACAGATTTGCTGAAAGAATGGCTAGTCAGTAAGGAAAAGAACAATGTAAATGAAACAATGCAAAACCACATTCCATTGCTATTATTTGATATGAATGCAAATAGTGATTCAGATAGCGCAAGTGACTCAGATAGTGAACATGACTCGGATAGTGAAAGTGACTCAAATGGTGGAAGTGACTTGGACAGTGAAGTAATTGCAACCACATTAGAAAAAGGCGCTTATCGCAATATAACTGCAATTCTTTAGTTTATCGTTCCAAAACTGATAGCAAATAAAGTTCTTAGCTATGAAGCTCCTATAATATATTTGAGAATCTCAGGTGACAGAAGAAACATTGGAAAAAAAATAAAACATGTAATGGTAACGCTAGCAATCCTTAATGACTAAAAAAATCTAATGAAGCCAGAAAGACATTATACAATTTCATTATTTTCTGAAACCGAAAATTATACTTCACTCAAAACCGCTTTAGAGCCAATTCGTCATGAATTACAGGACTTGCATAAAAATAGTTTTATTGATACTGATTATAGACGATGGAAGATTGAAGTTTTTTTTTCATCAGATTGGAAATTTCTGGCAATAAAGTTGGGTTTTAATGCGCCTAATGCATTTAATTTTTGCCCGTGATGTTTCTGTACCAAAGATTTAATAAGTGACTTAAACCAAATTGGCTAATAACAAAAAAAACCGATCAAATCAAAAAAAATTATCAAAAGTTCCCAGGTCATATTCATTCATCTATCTTGGATATGATTCCAATGACTTATTATATAGTAGATTAACTTTACCTGATGTTATGTATAACCGATCATTTGTAGGAGTTGGCTCTAAATGAATGCAAAAATAACGGTCATTTTGTAGATGAAATGAAGGAGTTAATATGTGAAGAAATGAAAGCTATCGGTATAAAATTTAAATTCTGGAAAGATCAGGAGACAAAAAAGTAGAAATTTACCTCTTTAATGGACCCAGACAAATTAAAATTAATAGAAAACTTTAATCTAAGTATAATGCTGCTGCAAGCATATGCCACAAAAGTTCGAAAACTCTGGTTAGGATTTTGTGAACTTTATAGAATGCTAAGTCAAAATAAATTAACAAGAAATACATTCCATATTAAAGCTTGTGAATGGTTAAGTATATTTTTAACACCTTCACAAATTATTCCCAGCACTAATACAATAGATAAAGAATTATACACACCAAGTGACATAACCCCTTACATGCACATTCTAAACTATCATGTTCCAGAATTTCTGGATATTCATTTACAATGGGGACTTGGCGCATTTTCTTGCCAGCCAGTCGAAAAAAAAAATCATCAACAAGTGTCAACTTTTTTTTCAAAAACTTTAAAAAATGGTGTGCAAAAATCTGCTATCTTAGAAATATTAGAGATGAAAAATAGAGCGTTGTATTTTTGGCGATTTGAAGAAGTTTTGGCATTTCCAAAATATAAGAAGATTAATATCACAAGTTTCAATGAAATTGAATAATATTGTTTTATTCTGTAAGATTAATAGAATATTTTTTGAAACTTGGTGCTATTTCATCAAACGTAATAAAGCATTTAGATATAATTGCTAGTTATTGTTTAATTTCTCATCAGCTTATTAAGAATTCTTAATCAAAAGTGAATTAAAATTATTAACGCTTGTGAATTTGCAGCAAAAGGTTGTATACTTTAAAATATTAGATATATCGATATACGTTAACGTTGATATTCAAGTATAAAATCTAGTGATATAGGCTGATGGAAAAATCTCAGGTCGAGGCCAGCTCAGGCCATCAGGGCCGATTTTTGTATGAATGATTTGAAAGATTTTGAAAGATATTCGACCTTTATTACACTTTAGACATGGATTGGAGAGTTATTCAGATTCAATTCAATACTTTTTTCTTTGGCCTTTTAAGAGATTTATATTCGATGTTGTCTTATTTTCTACATTCTGAAGATTCTCGGCTGGTAATTTCCGGGCCATCAATATTTAAGGTTGACAAAAATATACTTTGGAAAATTTTTTTAAAAATTGCAAGAGCAATATTAGACTTCTTTTTATTAATTGTAATTGAACTATATACAAAACAAACATATAAATAAAGTAATGGAAAAGAAGAATTGTAAATAAGCCATCATTTGAATATATTTTCTTTTAATATTACAACTTTCTTTAGAATTATCTGATAGTATTTACATTCAATTAATGTGTTCTTATCAGTTATTCAAATCCTGACATAATAGAGATTTCTAATTTAGATAAATAGAACAAAATTACTAAAGAAAAAAAATAAATTAAGATGTTTTAACA